ACTCAGGTTCTCTAGAAGAGCATCCAATGCTCTTAATGCTGAGCCATCTCTCTGTTCCCTGATTACTGTATTTGGGGATTTCATACAAGAGTGTGCTATAAATACATTCTTTCCACTACTCCTTCTCTGTTCCAACTCCTCCTGTGTTCCTCCAACTACCCTCTCTCAAACTCATGACCTCTTCTATATTTACTACACACTCACATACACACACGCGCACACAACACAACACACACAGCACCCCGACTGAGTCCAATTAGTGCTGTCCTTTTCTACATGTGTGTAGGTCTGATTCCTTACAACTGAGATCCTGTCTCTCAAAATAAATCTAAACTATTTCTCCCTATCTCAGCAGTTATGATGCAATTGTAACACTTGTAGGTTGGGGTTAATCAACAGCTATACAATTAGACCTAAAAGCCATTCAATAGGAGGGAAGTCAGGCCTGGTACTATCAACCCAACCAAGAACCCATGGCTACAGAAATCATAGGCTCTAGAGGAAAACCTAGTACCAGCATGTTCCTAAAACCACAAAGATTCCTCCTTAAGCCTGGAGACACGTACAGCCCTGACATCTTACCAAAGAAGTTTCTTTCTTTGGAGAAAACTTTCCAACTAATCAGAGTGCAGAAAACAAATAACTCTGGGGTGCCCAGCCCCAAATGGAACATCTACACTAGAACCCCAGACATAGGCTCAGGAAACATTGAGGGAGCAGGGGCAGAAAGATGGTAAGAACTCGAGGACCAGGACAACCGCTGTGAGATAGTTTCTTCTGCATAGGATGTTTTGCCTCCAAGAACTCCCACCAACATGGCTGCCTGCCCGAGACCTGCAGAGACCACACCAGTCAGCATGCTGAACTCTCACTAACATGGTTGCCTACATGAGACCTACAGAGACCACACCAGTCAACATGCTATGTGGCAGGAGGAAAGTCTCACAAGGCCCTGCCCCTAGATGAAATGCCACTTCTAGGTTGATCTCCTACCCGTCATTTCTTTAGAAAGAGGAGCCAGGCAGTCCTGTGCTGTGTCAGGGCTGGAGCCTTGTGGCTTCTGCTCAGAGCACAGTAGACCTGGACTCCGTGTCCTTTCATCCCCTGTCAAACCAAGCACGGCTATATTTCAAAGCAAAGCGAGTGCCGGTGATGAAGCGGAGGCTGACCCCTTGATTTGTGAACATTCCGCTGTGCTGTGAAGTTCATCTACTCCAAACAATTTACAGACATGTTTGAAGTGCTCAGACCCTCATAATTACCATTGAGCTGATCGGACGTCTCTGTGCAGATCGTTAATATGTGCACGGAGTTAAGTAGTAGACAGCTGATGGCTGGCTGGCTCTCCTTTGCTCGCGTGATACTGAGGATGCAGCGTAGTACCTCACAACTGCTAGGTAAGGCTCTACCCACAACTCCCTTTTTATTTAGAAGTGGGGTTATAAGAAGTTACCCAGGAAGGCCTTGAACTACTTACCATTCTCTCAAGTAGCTGGGGTTTCAGGTAGCACCCTCAGGCCTGGTTGACTGTTAGTTAAAATATTCACATTTGGGGTGGATGTTTTGCTTATTAAGTTTGTCTGGCTTTTCAGATGGTAAGGACTATCTACTGTAGTTATCCTAATAGTAGGATGGCGATTATGTGAATACAGGGAATTGAATGGGCATGGGTCAAGTGCCTCTGCTAGGGGGTGGGGATGGGTGTCACCATGTCTAGAGCTAGTAGGCAGAGCGTGCAGCTCAGTGTCCCCTTCTGGTTGAGTTCTGGCACTGGTGACTGTGTCACTCGGTCCTGAGGGACACACTGTCAGGGTGTGTTGTGGCCTCACAGCACCAGACCCATGGACTCACCTTTTACTCCTTACAGCCCAGAAGAAGTCTAGAGAATGGTGTGGTGGGCTGCCCACTTCGAGTCTGGGCTTGTCAATCAGCTGTCTAGATGATCGGCCCTAGCAGAACGAGTAACAGGACAGAGTTTGGGTTGATAGAGCAGTATGCAAATTTCCACCACGCTTCTCACCTGCCACTCTCTTCGAGACCAATTTAAATGCGCCGTGCATTTTGTCCAGAGGCCATCTCTGGATGCTGTGAGGGCTAAGTGAGAGAGGTAACCAGTGAGAGCAGGCTGACCAGAGACACCTGGGAAAAGAAACCCTCGATGGAGACTCCATCAGACTGACTTGTGGGCTTGTCTGTGCGGCTCGGTGAATCCATGAGAGACTCTCCCACAGTGGGCAGTGCCACCCCACACTGGTGGTCCCACATTGTTTAAGAGTGGTGGTTGAACATGAAGCTGTTGGAAGCCAGCCAGTAAAGGGCTCTCCTCTTTGTTTCCTGTCCCTGCTCCTGCTTGAGTTCCTGCCCCAACTTCCTGCAGCGGTGGACTGCAGTTGGGGAGATTTAAGCTGAATAAGCCCTTTCCTCCTCCCTAAGTTGTTTTTGGTCTTCTTTATTACAGCACCAGAAAACAAACTAGGGTAATGAGCTAATCCAATTTGAGGGCTTAGTGCACCGCCTGCATGTCAGACATACTCGACTGAGTGCCAGCGATTGTTCCTGTAATTATGAAGCCTTGTTACCCACTCTGAGAACAGAACACAAACCTTCAAACCCAACACATGTATGGCACGTGCTTACCATTCTAGATGTAAAGACACCTGCAATGTATTAACCAATGGCAGCTAACAAGCCCTAACCATCCATAAAGGAGCTGTTAGTATCCCAATTTTACAGAAGAAGAAATGGAGGCATAGACTGGTTGGAAAACAGCCAAACTAGAATGCAGTCCCAGAAGCCCTGGAGCTGAGGTCTGTGCCCTTTCCTGCCTTGCACAGTTGCATTGTTCTGTCCACCTGGATGGCAGTGTGGACAGAAAACGTTCACGGGAAGTAAGCTACAGAAGCAAGAGTCCAAATTCTGCTCCAGTGTCTGTCACACACATCAGATAGTGTTGCAGAGTCCCGTACCCATCAAGGAGGCCAGCCTGAGATTCGCCATCTCTGAAAGCCTCTGGGGCAGAAATTCAAGGCTCAGCAGCATTGGCACCTACTGAGGGAAATGCCCTAACTGGCCACTGTGGTAAGGTTGCCGGTGGTGTAGTCTCCAGGTTCCCTGAGATCCTAAGTGGTGAACGAAGGTGAGAGAAGAGACAAGGAAGGCCTGGTATTGTCCTCACGGGTGGTCACATGCTAATCTTTACTGGATGCCTTAGTTCTAAAGGCATCTTAGAGAGCAGTTGAAGTTGGCTGCACCACACTCCAAGGTATGATGCACAGAGATCACTCCAACCTTCCAACGTCATCTTCAGAAAACCAGCTGTTTCTACACAGGACCCGGAAGCTCTGCCTGCAAATTTCTAGAAGGCTCAGCTCTGGAGGACTCTGTGGGCAGGCCTAGCCTTCTCTGCTACTTGCCTCCAGAGGCTGCTCTCAGCTTAGGACTCAGGAGCAAGCCCTGTCTCTGGGGCTCAAACCAACTGCTCGCCTGTTGGCTTGCCTGTTGGAGCCTGTTTCTCTGTTAAGCCCAAGCCTCAGAACATAACCCCTGGGAAGTAGACTCTACCAGGCGACTCCACTGGGGTTGGAATCGGGGCCTTGCTGCTGCTGTGACTGATAAAAGAACGCTCCCTGCTTGTTCACAGCTGCTACCCCTGCCACAGGGAGGAGCCACCCTGAGATACACAGCAGTTGCACCTCCCAAGGTTGTGGGTTCAGGACCCTTGAGAAATTCCCAACAGCAGCCTAAAGAAAGTGATGTGTGATTTTCAGGCCTGGGTGGCAGAGAAGAACTGTGACTTTCTGTGTGGTAGCCGGAGCCTCATTGGTGGGGTAGACAGTTTTGCAGTTCCTGCTCGGAATGCCAATCTGTTTAGACAAATGTTTGTGTGAGGGTGGTGTGGGGACCGTCCCTCCCCTGGCTTGGAGAGCAGTTATGAAAGATTTACTGCCTAATAGGCTTTCAGCCTGGAAGCTGGGAGATGGCACAATCGCTTTTGTTTTGCAGAGAATCCCCTGGGGCCCCCTCTGTACCCATGATGAGCACATGTACCTCAGCAAGCAGAGTGCTGATTAGCCAGGGGCCTGCTGCTCAGCCTCGTCTAGAAAATGCTGCTGAATATGACCTTGTGCCTTTGGGAATTCTTTCTGGAGTTATGTGTTTGGAACAACTTTTCCCCTCCCTCATTATTCAGACCCACAGCTCCAGCGAAGAGATTGACTGTCTCGTGATTGCCCAGACATGCCGCCCCGCGTTTGCTCAAGCCGCTCTTCCTGCCCGGCTTGTCTTTTCCATCTTTGCTTTGCAAGAATCCTGCCCATCCTTCAAGATTCAATTCAAATATTAATGCTTCACTAATCCTTGCCCTAGAAATTGATCTCTATTTTTCTCTCCAGCTCCGTTATCATTCTCTATGCCCATCACGGCCCTTATCTAATTCTGCCTTGCACAATCAATATTTATGTGTAGACTTTCCCCACTCCCACTTACATCCGAACTTGGTGTTGTACAAATGTGTTGCCCGTTCTGAAGTTTTCAAAAAAAATTAAAATAAACTATTCATGTATGAAGTTCATATTTATTGAACAGAAGCAAACAATGTCAGCAAGAATTTTGGGTGTGTGTAATAGGAAATAATTAAGATTAAGCATGGAAGAAGTCACACAAGCCAACAGTAACCAAAGAGGGACAGTCTTGGTATCTCTTGGTCCTTGGATTATGTACAATTATGAGGGATATTTTTAAAGAGTAATTCCTGCTTAAAAATCACGGCCCTGGAAAAGGCCCAGTACACTAATGGGCTGCTCTCAGGGTGCTTGAGAGCCCTGGGTGACAGATGCAGAGCTCTGCCTGGCTTGGATTCCCTTGCAGTCCTCACCAGCCTTGGAAAAGACACGCAGCGCAGATCAGCACAACTGGCCGATTTCCCACTTGTCTATGTGAGTGGTGACGGAAATTAAATTTCCCTGGAGGTGCTAACCCTGCTCTCCTTGTTTTTATCTCAGCCCTGGACCCATCCAAGGACCCTTGCCTGAAGGTGAAGTGCAGCCCCCACAAAGTGTGTGTGACCCAAGACTACCAGACAGCCCTGTGCGTCAGCCGCAAGCACCTGCTGCCCAGGTAAGTGGGGGGAAGAAGGTGACTAGAAATTCGGGGTGCTCTGTGACTGGGGGATCTGAAGCATTCAGGCTGTGCCTGGGAGCAGGGTGGACAAAAGAGAGCAGTGTGTTTGCCTTTAAATGCTATCGGGTGCCTGTACTCAGGTGCTGGGATCAGACAGCAAGCACAGGTTTGCCAAAACCAGTAACTTTTTTTAAATGATGATTATTATGATTGTTGTTGTTGTTGTTGTTTTAGTGTTTGTGGGGGTGTTTTGTCTGCATATCATGTGTTCCTGGTGCCCACAGAGGTCAGAAGAAGGTATTGATTATATCCTTAGAACTGGAGTTGTAGATGTAGGTGCTGAGAATTGAACCCAGGTCCTTTGGAAGAGCAATCAACGCTCTTAAATGACAAACCATCTCTCCAGCTCTAAGAATAGAAACCTTAACTTAAAAAGAATTTCTTAATTTTGACTCTGAGCCCTCATCTGAACAGAAAAGCCCCTTTTCATCAACATGGGGGCCGTCCTCTTCCTTGAGTAACCCTGGTACCCAGGAAGGTTACAGTCTAGAAAGCAGGAAGTGGTCCTTCATTTTTTTTGGTTGCCACTGACAGTCTGAGCATGATGAGCAGCCTTTCAGGAACTGGACCCTCCCATTGCCCTGGCTTTAGTAGCTCCAGTGTGACACCCACCCTGGAGTCTGCAGAATGGGTGCTTTCTTTCTCTCTCCAGGTCTTGATGGTAGCCATTGGCTCATCCTCCTAGGACATGCTGTGATTGATGGTCCTTTCCCTTCTGAGTGGCCTCCTCTGGATTTTTCTGGGTGGGGGGTAGCACCTCTCCCCTGGCAGCAAAACAGAGCTTCTCATCGGAGCGATGCGCAGCCTCTGTCTTCCCTAGTCTGAGGTCCGATGCCACAGACATGGCCACTGGAATCCGTGGCCAGGGATTGCAGTCAGTGTTGTTGCGAGTGCAAAGCTCCGAGATGTGCCTGGCTGTTTTCTAGGCGGGCGCTTCTTCCCCGGAGTCAGATGGGTCCTGCCCTGGACCCCAGGGTGGTGCTCAGCGATTGCCCTTCAGTTCCTCTGGGCGGTTTTTAAATCAGATAAATTTTTTTGGTCTCTATTCTGCAAATGCAGAGCTGAAGCAGTAAGAAGCATCGATAATTTGCATATACATGTTTAAAAGCCTTTCAGTTAATGTAATATTTATTTTAGAATTTCATATATTTTGATCATATTTTCACCTACCCCAAATCCTCCCACATCCTCTCTCACCTCCTTACCCACCCAACTTCATACCCTTTAAAACAACAACAACAACAGAAAGGACACAAAGCAACAACAACAACAAAAAGCACAGACAAAAAAATAAGTCTGGAGTCTATTTTGTGTTGGCTAACCACTCCTGAGTGTGGAGCCTGCCCTGGAGTGTTGTTGATTTGCCGCTGTGAGCTCCCCATTGAAGAAAGCTGACTTCTCTCTCCCAGCAGCTATCAATGACAAATAGCTTCTTGGCTTGGGGAGTGGCTTGTGCCCACCCCCTCTTCTCTGTGCTGGGATTTTGCCAGCCATAGACATATGCAAGTCATTACTGAGTGGGCTGTAAGAATAATTTCGTCGTTATCATTTGAAGTCCCGTTTCAGGAACCCACACTCCAAGAAAACCACCCCAGTCCTCCCATCACATGACTTCTGCCTTTAGGAGAGAAGGAAATGAGCCTTCATTACTGGCAAGCAAGAGAATGCCCCCAATTAGGGATAATCTCCAAAGTGGTTCAACCACTCAGTCTCATGTATATGTGTGTGCACATGTAAATGTATGTTCCAGGACATCCTTTCCCCTAGACTTTGATGAAATACCAAGTAAGAGATTTTTAGTCTTAAATTCAAATGCGTTTGAGACCAAGGCAGTCATCTCTTTGGTTTTCATACACACCCAGGTATACAGGCATTGTCCTGGGTACACCACACTTCGGAGCCTCATTCTCAGCTTATGTGGCAAGAACAGACCCCAGATCCTATAGCCATAAACTGATCATAGCTTTGGGCATGGATTTAGGAAGGACACAGAAGTGGGTTCAATTCCTCCGGGCCTATGTAAATTTGATCAATAAGTTTGTGAGTCTAAATTTGTATTTCTTCATCTGTTAAATGGATTTAATGTGAAGACACAGTGTATTTTGTGTGAAAGTTCAATATAGGTGATGGTACACAATGATGGTTTAATGTCCGACAATGCCAGCTAGTCTAACCCTCAGTGAAACAATTGCCGTACTAGTTATTCTCTGAGTAATTCTGGAAGCTCAGCCAGAGCTCTCCCTCCCAGCTGCATATGTTCCTGAGAAAGAAGCAGCTTCCCTTTCTCACTCTGAGTGTGCTGCCTTCGAGCCTTTGGACCGGATCTCAGGGGTTATGGTGACATTTCTGCTGCCACTTTGTGCTTTGCAGCAGGGAAGACAAAGAAAACGACCGCATTTCTGACCATAGGGTCTATTCACTGCTAGAAAAATAGCTCAGGAATGTGCTTTGGTGAAGGTGGTACACCCTCTTCCATAGCAGGAAGGGAGAAGCCCAAGGAGACCTGCGGTGTGGTCGCTGTGGTTGTATCCCCAAATATCCTTCTCAGAAGTGGGATTGCTCAGCCCTCGATAGTAGCCATGTGTGTATCTCCTTGGAGGGTCTTGGATGCCTTCCCGGATGAAGCATCTGCCCTTCTACATTAAACTTCAGGGGTCCCCCAGAGTAGAGACAGCATACTGACAACTCTATTTTTTCATCTATCTGAGAACTGCTTTTTCATTCTGTAAAATATCTATAGAGAATCCTGCCAGCCGAGCTGGCCTCTCGCAGCTCAAAGGGAACATGTTGTCTCTAGACTTTAAGAAGCTGCAGACAGACCAGGAGCGAGTTGGGAGGTCACAGCTGATGAGAACACCCCCCCCCTCCCCAGCGTAGACTGACTTGCAAGTGGATTGGGGGCAAGGCTGGGGAATGCCCCAGCGAGGGAAGGCTGTGGCCTGAACGGGACCTCAAGTGGATAGAGCAGCTCCTGGGAACACAGGACTGTGGACACAGTGTTTCCTCCAGCTCTTTGAAGAGGAGGCTTGTGGGGATTTCATCCGGAGGCTTCCGCTGCATTCACATCCTTCTCAGAGAGCTCCTGTGGAAATTCTCTCTCCTTCCTGCTGCTAGGCTGTGCTGGCAGTGTGGGAGGAGGTAGACTCACGGCCATATGCTCCTGCTTCACGGTCTCCATGGGATCCCTGGTGAACTGCAGAGTGAAGGATGTGGTCAGAACGGCCTCTTGTTGATGTCTTAAAAATTCTCGCTCTACCTTTGGAATGATGGTTGATGCTTATTATAGAAAATATTTTAAAATTACAAAAAAATAAGTAGGAAGTAGGTAAAGGCCACAGTGTTTAAATGCAGTAATTAAAGTATTTCAGTAAGTTCTGTCTAGTTTCTAGCTTTTCTTGTCTCTGTTAAAATTTATTTATTTTACGCATATTATTTTGCCTGCATGTACATGTGTATAGCACACGTGTGCCTGATATCCTCAGAGATCAGAAGAAGGTATTGGATCTCTTGGGGCTGAAGTCATAGGTGTGTATAAGCTGCCACGAGGGTGCTGGGCACAAAGCCGTCTTGTGGAGGAGCAGCCAGTGCTCTTAGCGTCTGAGCATCCCTTCGACTTCTGTTTTGCGTATTGACTTGTTTATGTCAAAACTTATTTAGCAAGTGGCCTATATAATATATAAAATTTAGTGTTGATATTTATACATGAACACTTTAGGGTACTATAAACCAAGCTTAAAATTTTAGTGATTGCATAACATGCTGTATAAAAATTTCACTTGAGAGATGGGTCACATTTGTAAACACACACACTAAGTCTACAAAACTTTCAGAAGAAAATGACATGAGATTTCTGTCCTTGGGTTTGATTAAGACTTCCTAATTGTGACATAGCAAATGAGATTTTACCCAAATTGAAGGTGTCTGATGTTCAGTAGATACTCTTACATTTTTTTTTAAAAAGTCCAATCATTCTGGGAGGGAATATTTCAGAGGGTTTGCTTTACATATATGTACATGTAAAATACTCTCATGTGTGTTTATATCAGCTTCATTTAGCATCACACCACACACACACACACACACACACACCACATACACACACACACACACGAGAATGCAAGGTGAGCTGATCAGCCAATTGTGTCCTAGCCATTAATAATTGAAACTACTCAGCAACAAATACAAGTGAGCTATTAGTATACCAAACAATCAACAAATAATTGAATACCAAAAAGGATCAGACTCAAATAAATATGAAGTATGCCATCTCCATTTCCTCCCTTCTGAGGCCAAACCAGTTATAAGGGACACAGACTCCGTGTCTGGGGTCACAGGAAACACACAGCTGCCTGGGGATGAGGAGAATATGATAGTATAGGTGAATGGCTGAGCATCCTATAACTCATGGCCACAAGGCAGATCATTTGGGAAACAGAGATGTCAGACTCCATCCTGGGAAACCAGAGCCCCATTTGTAACTGAGTCTGCTCTCAATGGAAAGGGATGTTTTAAACAATGTCTTATTATTCATAGTTTTTTTTTTAAATCCTCTCTGAGATATTTTTAGGAGAATATTGCCAAGGGATGGAGCCTGCAGAGGGCTCTGCTGCCAGTGTCTCTGCTATTGGGGATCACTGGTTCTGATCAGATGCTTGTGGAGTTGGAGGAGGTGGGGTCTCCTCACAGAGGGCTGAGCATTGATTTTTTATTCTCTCTCTCTTGCCATTGATTTTCATTTGGAGAATAGAAAATTGAAGCATTTGTTTGGGGCCGTCCAGACAAGCCACACTCTCTGATTCTGACAGTGTGTTGTGAATGGGGAGACGGTGTCAGAATGGGACTTGTACTGTCTAAGTGGACCCTCAAAGCCTTGGGGAGCAGTGGGTACTCATCTATTTTTAAGTAAGGAGTGAGACGGTCCAACTTCCCAGAGGCCT